TCTACATATGATTGAGGGGCTTCTCTATATGGGGGCATTCCCCTTTACCAATTAAACAAATCACTTGCACATGAACATATGCAAGGTGGTTTCCCATTGGCAATTCTCCTAGAGGGGCCATCAATGGGGTGTAAATGACCCATCAAATCCTCAATAAAGTATTCCTTTTCTAGTATGAGAAGGGCTTAACAATCCCCCCCCCTTTTATTTGTGTCTGTCACTTTCTCGCAGGGCTAGAGAAGAGAGGGGGGAAGAGGTGGAGGGGACAAGAGAATTGTTTATCTATGGATTGTAGGGGGTGGAAATTCTTCCTCTGGTTGATCTTCAAAAATCTCTTCAAGCACAGATTTTCTTTCACCCCCTTTTGAATAGAACAGACTTTAGATGGCAAAAGTCTGGTGGGTTCAAGATGACATTGTGTCAAGATATCTTGTCTCAGTACCAAATTAAGGAAGAAACCCGCATATAATTATTCCTCTAATTTTCCTCGAGCATTGAGATAGTCAGTTAATCTCTTTTATATTCACTGAACCTTCTTTTGGCCATGGCAGAGATTGTGGACCAAGAATGTATGTGGGCCAGATGGTATTGCAAAAGGTTCGGAGCTTGCTCTTACTAAAGCTTATCTTAAAAGTCACCTGGGGTTTCAATGCTTTCCAGTTGCTAAAAACACATTCTAAAGTGGTACACGTTTCCTTAGGGTGGCCAGACCAACAATTCCTATGCCCTGCCTATTTCCCATGTTCTTAAGGAGTTTTGCGGTTCCTTTCCATCAGAATCAAGGCTAGCTTCTGCCCCCCCCTCATATGTCGGACTGGGACTTGATCTCCCCCAGAATATTCAACAAACATGCATCATCTGTTGCTTCGGAGGTCAACAGCCATTACCCTCTCAGGGAGACAAAATCACATATCGTTCCTCCTCACTCATGTCAGAGCAAACTTCTAACAGGAATTTCTCCATCTCATTCTTCCATTCATGCAACACTCCACACCTCCCCTCTAAGGAAATTATACTCACCACCACTACAACCAAGTTGGACTTCCCTTTTTCCCACCTCCTAAACGTTCAGTGCCTTGATTTAGCCTGGTCATTCAGGTCTTCTCACAGCGGAGTCCTCCATCCTTGGTGGTCACGAAGTCACCAGGGGCAAGGGCCCTGGGAGGCCTCTTGACATCAAGATGCTCCAGGTCCGGTTTCCACTGGGAGATAACAAGAAGGCTCTCTGTCTGTCCAAAGATGACGCCCCAAGAGAACATTGCCCTCAACATAAGATGCCCCACTTTTGGGCGCCAGGAAAATATATATAAGGTTTTTGAATTCAGCTCAGAAGCTGATAATTCCAATGAAACTCTGAACACGAGGCTACTGATAATCAGTTTTAATTTTCTGCAGAAAGCAAAAAGACTTGATGGCATTTTTGTCTCCCACCTTAATAGAGCAGGCATAGAGACAAAAAACAGGTGCAAGCCTCACTGTCCAGTCATGAAAAAAACTTTTTGTCAAACTTCTTATAGTCTTTCACAGCTTGTACAGATCATCATAGTGAAACATCATTTCATGTTACACAAACCTCATGATTTTTCTCAGCCCACTAAAAACAATAGACTTTAGAAGAGGAAAGAAATACATTTTCTGTCATAAGATAGAGCTTTGCTAGGGCAGTGTTTTTCAACCTTTTTTGTGCAAAGGCACACTTTTTTCATGAAAAAAATCACGAGGCACACCACCATTAGAAAATGTTAAAAA